AGCATTGTTAGTTTCCGCTCCTCCTGTTTTTAGCTGTAAATTGTTGATCCACTTTTCTCATCTTTTTCGGTACGTTTTTTTTTTTTTTTTTTATTAACTCCCTTGTGACCAACTACCTTTGGAACATGAAAATAAAGTTTATCTTTCTCTCTATTAGAACAGTTCGAACAGTGGTGTCCAAAGTGGGTCCTTGAGGGCCGGCATCCTGCATGGTTTAGTTCTCTCCCTGGTTTAGTGCAACTGGATCAAATGATGGCTCATTAGAGGCCTAAGAAGAACATTGACATGCTGAAAAGGTTGTTACTACCACCAGGGAGAGAACTAAAACATGCAGGACGCCGGCCCTCAAGGACCCACTTTGGACACCCCTGAGTTGGAACAACTGTACAGGATACAGACTTTGGACATTTTGATGCTGGATCAACAGAAATAAATGAGCTGCATTTACTTCCTGCCCTCCATCTGCATTACGTGACGTTTGCACTACATCATCTGAAACCCAGCAATAGATTTATTATTGCACCTTTTACTTGACTGCTGATGGCATCGGAGCATGGAGGATTTTTTATTTTTTTTTACTCCAACAAAATCAAAATTTAAATTATTTGATTTTAAGAAATTGACAGAAAATTTCCATGAGTTTTTTTCTTGGTTTTTCACTGCAAGACTAACTTTTGTGAGTTCTGTTAATTCTAACCATTACATCACTCATGACTCTCCTGCAGTATTCTCACCCCTTCACACTGTTCAGATGTTTTCCCTCACATCTACAAATTTAAATGTATTTTGTAGATATTTTAGATGAATACAAATTACATATAAAATCAGATTTAATAGCATGGTCTTTAATTAATCAATTATAATTAATCAAATAAAATAAACTATATACTGATTATATGAGCAACATTTTCAATTCAAAAATCATTTTGCTGTTAAATTATTGCATAAATAGACATATGAGCTCAACAACAACAGTATTTATTGCTTTTTTCTCTTATTTGGATCATTCAACCATCAGATTAGATCGAAGTGTTGTTCTATACATTTATCTTTCCAGAGTTTCAGGAACTTCTGATCATTCATGGAACTTCTTTAGTAATGTGGACGGTAGATGATGATGGTTAACGTTAGCTGCTACTCCATGTTTAGCATTGAGATTCTATTTTAGGCTTGAATAGCTTTTCTGATAGGCTAACTCCTTTTAGCACAACTTGAACACAAATATAGTAAACAGAAATGAACCCTCAGAGGGCCAAGAGAAGCAGCTTTTTCATCTATTGCCGTTGTTTACGGATTTGTCAGATTTATGGGTGTACAAGGAAAAAATCTAAATTGAAATTAACATATTAAAGTCTCTGCCCTAATATAATCTAACAGAATTTGAAGCATGCCAGGGTAAACTGATTTAAAAAGAAAATATTAATCAATTAATAAAATGTGTTTGTTGTATATAAGGCAGTAGTTTATATTAGAGCATTTTAAAGTTGTTTTTGGTCCCTCTGACATGCCATCTAACTCTGTCCCACCAGGATACAATCACTTTGCACTCCATGGAAGACAAATGTTTGCCTACAGACTACATTTACCTACTCTCACACAACATAATATGTTTCCCAGGCTTCACACAGTTTGCTCCATTTTTTTAAACTGAAATTGTAAGGGGTTCTAACACATATTTTGTTCATTTTTATAGGCAATTCTATCCATGAAAGGTTGTTTTTTATTGTTTAAAGAACAAGCAAGCTTCTGTTATTTTAATTTTTAGATTCGAAAAAATATCTTTTCTCCGTTTTCCATGGCTTGACATATTTTATTTATAGAGAAAAAAATAATCCAACCCGAAGTTATGATGAAAAAGGTTTTCCCTCTAATTTTGATGTTTGCTTTTCATACCACATTTTTAAAGCTTGTAGAGGTGGTGCAAAACCTGCTTGCAATGTTTGCTTTGAGAGTGATGGAGAAATTTTCTTAGCTGCCCTCTATCTTTTTACATCTACAGAAACCAAATGATAGAACATTATTGCATGACTTGCACAAGGACACTGAGATGGTGATGAGGTGTGTGGTGTGTGTGAAACAGAGGAATGGAGCAGGAGTCAGGTGGAAGAGAGGCTGAAGATACAAAGGTATGAAAATTAGAATGGAGTTAAGACAGAGTAGGTGCATGTGAATGACAGACAGGTGGAGGAGTGAAGCGATGGAGATGGATGAACTCCTCCAGGCTGTTGTTTTCAACAGCCTGGAGGAGATGGTGAAGAGGAGGATGCTCTGTGAAGTTAAGGATGAACATGTGTGACAGGAGGCTAGGTGGGGGACTAAACACAAACATTTACATGATGGTTGTGAGATCTGCTGGTGAAAGGGTGAACATGAAACTATCAGAAACATTTGACGTTTCACAGCTCCTCTTACGATTTTATAGTTTTGCTGTAAGCTGGTGTGTACAACTGTCCTCTGCTTTTTTTCCCCCAATTGAATTAGGGTGGCTGGTGTCACTTTCACAGTTAACTACAAGAAGCAATTCATGTTGACACTGCTGACCTTTGAAAGAAGGAGAATCCATCAATTACCAGCTGAGTGGCTCAGCCTTTGCATAAACTCTGCTAGCAGAGGAAACCTGCTAAAGGCAACAATAAAACACAACCACAGCTGCACAGTGGCACAGTTGGTAGCATTGTTGTCTTACAGCAAGAAGGTCCTGGGTTCAATTCCCAGCCTGTGGTCTTTCTGCATGGAGTTTGCATGTTCTCCCTGTGGATGCATGGGTTCTCTCTGGGTACTCTGGCTTCCTCCCACAGTCCAAAAACATGACTGTTAAGTAAACTGGTCTCTCAGAAAACGAACGGTCCGTTCTTAACATTTTGGAATAAGAAAAATTGCATTTTATAATCAGACTAACTCGTGTTTTGGACTGCCTATTGCTAGCAGATCTATTCTGACTGAGCCACATCAACACATTTAGAGATGCACAATATGTCAGCATCATTGTTGGTATCAGATGATATTAGTCTTTTTTTTTAAATCTCAGTTTTGGCCCCATGAATAAAAATTAGCCAATATTAAATTTATTTCCACCTTGTTGCCACTTGTTTCTGGAGGAGATCGGTCATATGGTACACTCTAAGAAATAATCCTGTAAATTTACAGTCAAATACTGGCAGCTTTCGACGCCAGAAGTTTACTGTAAATGCACAGTAGCTGTACCGTAATTAATCCTGACAGTAGATTACCATCAATGCAAGTACGGTATGGATACTGTGAAAGAACGGTAAAATACAGGCATCTATAGCTGCCAGTAGTTTACCGTTCTTTCGAAAGAACAGGTAAACTACCGTTTTTCTGAAAGAACGATAAAAAAAAAATACTGGTAGCTACAGACGCCAGGTTTTTTATTGTTTGTTTTTTTTTTACCGTTCTTTCAAAAAACGGTAAAAAAAAAAAACTGGTGTCTGTAGATACCAGTATTTTACTGGATATTTACCTTTTCAATCCTGTACCTTTTAGAGTGGTGTACTGTAAGTAAATACTGTCATGATGCCAACACACTGCAGATGTAGTACCGCCAACAGGGTTTATTAGAAAAAAGAGCGAGCTGCTGTTCCTTAGGCAGCAGCTCGCGCCTCTAACAAATCGTTACACTCAACTGAATAGCTTTACTGCTAACACACTGAACTCTCCGCTCTTCCGGTGTTCTGTCAGATCAGCATCGGTTCTGGTCCTCCAGCTCCCCTGTTCCCCTGCCCACATGACAGGTCCATCACATGCGAGTGGAAGTCAGCAGAGTCAGACAGAGAACCCCATAACACTCTACACATAACAGTGATCACAATGCAACTTATAACAAATACACATAACCATATGGACCCCAGCAGAACTAAAATACAGAATCGTTAAAATACTACGGTGGTCGACAGGTGCAAACGCGCAGCAAACACGAGAAAAACAAAGAAAAGATGCAAACAAAAAAAGAGATGCAAAAAAACGTATAAAAATAAGTGTTCCAGACCACTAGAGCTTTGTGTTCGAGTTCAGGGTCTGCATCCTTTCAAGCTTATTCTGTCATGGGCTTGAGAAACGACCCGGTCTACGGAAGAGGGGTCCTGCAAAGGCAGAGAGCATTGCAGAGAAGCTGTAGCCTTCAGCTAGCTGCCTAGCCTCCACCTCGGCGTTATGTTGCTTAGCAGCCGTGACACAACATGATTTAAACAATGTTTGTAGGCGAGAATGTAGATGTATAAATCTCACATTTCTGCTCGGTTCATCAGTGCATCACCTAATTGCAATTGCTCCGACGTTTTCGGAGATTTTTGCTCCCGCTGTATTAACACCCAGCTCCCCTCGCCTGCTGCCAGCTGGTCCAGGTTTAGTATACCACGGGAGAACACCTGACTCATTTGGGCTTCCCAAATGACAGTTAGTTAAACACAGATATTAAGCCCAGGTAACATCTAGTTGTAATATTTTGGTTCACTAAAATATTTCATTTATTCCTGAGCAAATCTGTTTGACTGATTAAAGTGAAGCCTAAAAACATAATAGTTTGATTAAACTGTAATGTCTTACCTGAGATTTGGAGAGTATTTGAAAAGGGATTCTTTGCTTACATTCCTTGTGTAAATGTGCTATACGTGTTTGAACATTTTAGAATCAGACTAACATATTTTTTTTAAATATGCAACAGCCTTTATTACAAAAAGTGAAAAGTAATAGAGAAATCAGGAGAAAAAAAAACATACTTCCAGTCCGTTTTTTTTTCCTTCGCCGCTATGTGATTCACGTTGTCACGGTTGCTACACAACATAACGCCACGGTAGAGGCTAAGCAGCTAGCTGAAAGCTACAGCTTCTTTCTTCCGGTCGTTGAGGACCCAACGATGCAAAACCTGACTTCGGACACAGCTGTTCTTCGTTCGACTCCCCCTAGTGGTCTGGATCACTTCTGTTTTCAGCATTTTTTGTTAGCATTTCTTTTTTGTTGCATGTGTTTTTCTCGTCTTTGCTGGGTGTTTGTACCTGTTGGCCACCGTAAAATACAGTGGTGAAAGTAAATATACCTTCAAATACTGGCGTCTGTAGGTTCCAGTATTTTTACTGTAAATTTAGTTTTACTACTGCATTCACTTTATGAGTAAGCTACTGCAAAGAAAACTGTAGTGATACTTTTTAAAGTACAGTCTTAGTTTTACGATAGAACATTAATGAGATGCCACTCAAAGTCCATCAGGTTTTTGATAAGGGTGGAAACCTGAACATTGACCGTCACTTTTTATTTTAAATGGTCTTTCCTGTCTTTTTGGATACCATCTTCCCACGACCGGCTTTTGTGCCCCTTTCCCAATGAAGCGACTAAAAAACAAAATCAAAAATGGGACAATTCCTGAGAATATAAATAGTGTGGCATTCTGAATACAGCTGGTATAATATATAAATAAAGCTGTTTTTAATTACGTAAAGAGAAATCACCACCTTTGTCAAATGTTAATCATAACTTGCTTTAAAACCATGTCATTGTAAAAAACGTATTATAGGAATGGATTTACCGTTGAATGAACTCCAAAGTCTTGGCTGCCTCATGTTGATATTGGAGGTTGAAGATGAAGAAGATGGACAACACTGTCCTGTCTGGAATGTTGGCTGGACCCTCTCAAAGACAATATGGCCTTCAATGCTGACCATGCAGAAAACTGCTTGCCACAGGGACTGTAATAAACCAAGTCCTTAATTGGAAGAACATAAAACAAATCCTCTTATTGATACAGTATGCATTTAAATGATCATCATAATAAAGAGTGTCCACTCTGCCAGGTAAAGTAAAAGCAAGGATCTTAAACTCCTCAATTGTCGTGCAAGTCACATCAATGTTGAAAACTGTAGGCTGGATTAATTTACAGAAGTTGTAGAGGAATTCATGGTACTTTGCACTGAAGGTGAAGTGTGCTGTGAAAGTTAATCAAAAGCTACCTTGGATGATCTTGTGATCACTGATGGTGAAGTGTCTTTGGTGCTGCTCTTGTTTTCACCAACATGCAGGAGGAAGGGCTGTCCTGGTTCCACGGCAATGAGGAAGGCTTCAACACTGGCTTGCATCTTTGACATAATGATAAGAAGACGAATAATAAAAATTATTAAATATATTTAGCTACATTCAGATAGCAAACAAAGCTAATGAGAAAGTGCTTCTACAAAGAAGTAGGATCATTAGAATAATCACATATCTGCACATATCTGAAAACATGGTCCACAGTTTGACATGAGCTGTTTTGGATTATTCTTGTGACCTTTGGATGTAGGACGAAGCACATGAACCAACAGAAGAATACCTGGTTTCCCCAGCCTGGAGGAACAACAGGATAAATAGCAGACACATTAGGATATTAAATAAACATTTTAAAGAGAAGTGTGAGCAAAACTAACCAGACCCACCTGTGTGTGTGTGTGTCACCATCACAGTCATTCAAAATACTTTGTCCACCTGGTTTACCCTGGAGAGCATTTTTCACCACCTACAACATAAAGCATAAAAATGTCAGAAATAATTACCAGACATTAGGCATTACAGAAATTAGTCAGCTTATAGAAACATTATGGAGAGGATTTCTTCTGCCAACCTGTCACAAGAAATGTGTTGAAGTCATCATAACACGCTTCAGTCACCAACATGACATACTAATGAAGAAAAAATGTGTCAGCCAATATGTCATTGTTTATTATTATTATTATTTATAGAGACAAAAACATTTTGGCTTAGCTTTGATCGCATAGATCAAACCACCGGTCCAGCACAGCCACTCTCCCCATTATGCCGTCTGTAGCCGAAAACTTCAAGAAAACAACTCCGCAGCTAAATGATGTTAACTCAAACGGCCTTTCTGACAGTTTTAATGTTTGTTTAACGACCCGATACCCAGTGCTACACCTGCTTGGCTAGCTTTAGCTGCTAACAAAAATAATAAACCAAGGGTGCTCACATCCAGTCCTCGANACTGCTAACACACTGAACTCTCCGCTCTTCCGGTGTTCTGTCAGATCAGCATCGGTTCTGGTCCTCCAGCTCCCCTGTTCCCCTGCCCACATGACAGGTCCATCACATGCGAGTGGAAGTCAGCAGAGTCAGACAGAGAACCCCATAACACTCTACACATAACAGTAGTCACAACGCAACTTATAACAAATACACATAACCATATGGACCCCAGCAGAACTAAAATACAGAATCGTTAAAATACTACGGTGGTCGACAGGTGCAAACGCGCAGCAAACACGAGAAAAACAAAGAAAAGATGCAAACAAAAAAAGAGATGCAAAAAATATACAAAAATAAGTGTTCCAGACCACTAGAGCTTTGTGTCCGAGTTCAGGGTCTGCATCCTTTCAAGCTTATTCTCTCATGGGCTTGAGAAACGACCCGGTCTACGGAAGAGGGGTCCTGCAAAGGCAGAGAGCATTGCAGAGAAGCTGTATCCTTCAGCTAGCTGCCTAGCCTCCACCTCGGCGTTATGTTGCTTAGCAGCCGTGACACAACATGATTTAAACAATGTTTGTAGGCGAGAATGTAGATGTATAAATCTCACATTTCTTCTCGGTTCATCAGTGCATCACCTAATTGCAATATTGGTCCGACGTTTTCGGAGATGTCTGCTGCCGCTGCATTAACACCCAGCTCCCCTCGCCTGCTGGTCCAGGTTTAGTATACCACTGGAGAACACCTGACTCATTTGGGCTTTCCCAAATGGCAGTTAGTTAAACACAGATATTAAGTTAGGTAACATCTAGTTGTAATATTTTGGTTCACTCAAATATTTCATTTATTCCTGAGCAAATCGGTTTGACTGATTAAAGTTATGCCTAAAAACACAATAGTTTGATTAAACTGTATCGTCTTACCTGAAATTTGGAGAGTATTTGAAAAGGGATACTTTGCCTACATTCCTTGTGTAAATGTGCTATACATGTTTGAACATTTTAGAATCAGACTAAGATTTTTTAAATATGCAACAGCCTTTATTACAAAAGGTGGAGAGTAATAGAGAAATCAGGAGAAAAAAAAACATACTTCGAGTCCGTTTTTTTTCTCCTTCGCCGCTGTGTGATTCACGTTGTCACGGTTGCTAAGCAACATAACGCCACGGTAGAGGCTAAGCAGCTAGCTGAAAGCTACAGCTTCTCTCTTCTGGTCGTCGAGGACCCAAGGATGCAAAACCTGACTTCGGACACAGCTGTTCTTTGTTCGACTCCCCCTAGTGGTCTGGATCACTTCAGTGTTCAGCATTTTTTGTTTGAATCTCTTTTTTGTTGCATGTGTTTTTATCGTCTTTGCTGGGTTTTTGTACCTGTTGGACACCGTAAAATACAGTGGTTAAAGTAAATATACCTTCAAATACTGGCGTCTGTAGGTTCCATTATTTTTACTGTAAATTTAGTTTTACTACTGCATTCACTTTATGAGTAAGCTACTGCAAAAAAAACTGTAACCTAACCTGATAGATAGAACATTAATATGTTCTATCTATCAGGTTAGGTATTAACCTAACCTGAATGAGATGCCACTCAAAGTCCATCAGGTTTTTGATGAGGGTGGAAACCTGAACATTGACCGTCACTTTTTATTTTGAATGGTCTTTCCTGTCTTTTTGGATACCATCTTCTCATGACCGGTTTTTGTGCCCCTTTCTGGGTTAATCCCAATGAAGCGACTAAAAAACAAAATCAAAAATGGGAAAATTCCTGAGAATATAAATAGTGTGGCATTTTGAATACAGCTGGTACAATATATAAATAAAGCTGTTTTTAATTACGTAAAGAGAAATCACCACCTTTGTCAAATGTTAATCATAACTTGCTTTAGAACTTTAAAACCATGTCATTGTAAAAAAATTATAGGAATGGTTTTACAGTTGAATGAACCAAAGTCTTGGCTGCCTTATGTCAATATTGGAGGTTGAAGATGAAGAAGATGGACAACACTGTCCTGTCTGGAATGTTGGCGGACCCTCTCAAAGACAATATGGCCTTCAATGCTGACCATGCAGAAAACTGCTTGCCACAGGGACTGTAATAAACCAAGTCCTTAATTGGACGAACATAAAACAAATCCTCTTATTGATACAGTATGCATTTAAATGAAGAACATAATAAAGAGTGTCCACTCTGCCAGGTAAAGTAAAAGCAAGGATCTTAAACTCCTCAATTGTCGTGCAAGTCACATCAATGTTGAAAACTGTAGGCTGGATTAATTTACAGAAGTTGTAGAGGAATTCATGGTACTTTGCACTGAAGGTGAAGTGTGCTTTGAAAGTTCATCAAAAGCTACCTTGGATGATCTTGTGATCACTGATGGTGAAGTGTCTTTGGTGCTGCTCTTGTTTTCACCAACATGCAGGAGGAAGGGCTGTCCTGGTTCCACGGCAATGAGGAAGGCTTCAACACTGGCTTGCATCTTTGACATAATGATAAGAAGACAAATAATAAAAAATTATTAAATATATTTAGCAGCAGAGCTACATTCAGATAGCAAACAAAGCCAATGAGAAAGTGCTTATACAAAGAAGTAGGATAATTAGAATAATCACATATCTGCACATATCTGAAAACATGGTCCACAGTTTGACATGAGCCGTTTTGGATTCTTCTTGTGGCCCGTGGATGTAGGAAGAAGCACATGAACCAACAGAAGAATGCCTGGTTTTCTCAGCCTGGAGGAACCACAGGATAAATAGCAGACACATTAGGATAATAAATAAACATTTTAAAGAGAAGTGTGAGCAAAACTAACCAGACCCACCTGTGTGTGTGCGTTTGTGTCACCATCACAGTCATTCAAAATACATTGTCCACCCGGTTTACCCTAGAGAGCATTTTTCACAACCTACAACATAAAGCATAAAAATGTCAGAAATAATTACCATGAACACAACTCAGACATTAGGCATTATAGAAATTAGTCAGTTTATAGAAACATTCTGGACAGCATTTCTTCTGCCAACTTGTGAGAAGAAATGTGTTGAAGTCATCATAACAGACTTCAGTCACCAACATGACATACTAATGAAGAAAAAATGTGTCAGCCAATATGTCATTGTTTATTATTATTATTATTTATAGAGACAAAAACATTTTGGCTAAGCTTAGATCGCATAGATCAAACCACCGGTCCAGCATTGCCGAAAACTTGAAGAAAACGACTCCACAGCTAAATGTTAACTCAAGCGGCCTTTCTGACAGTTTTAATGTTCGTTCAACCACCCGACACCCCGTGCTACACCTGCTTGGCTAGCTTTCTGCTAACAAAAATAATAAACCAAGGGTGCTCACGTCCAGTCCTCGAGAGCTACCGTCCTGCAACTTTTCGATGTATCTTTACACCAACAGACCAGGATCAGCTCTGAACAGACCTGCTAACCAGCCTTTCATTTGATTTAGGTGTGGCAATTGGCGCAGGGAAATAGATCTTTATTGAGATACAGAAAAAATAACAGTATAAACGCAGCATACATTGTGGTATAATGTCCGCCAGGGGTTACAAACATTGAAGACAATACATCACCATTACATTACATAAATACATTAAAGAGATAACATAAAGAACATGTTTTAATAGCTTTGGGGAAACTTACCTTGTTATTATCATAGACATAAATACGTAGACGCCTCATGGAGCGGGTCAGCCCGTTGCTGCGATACGTAAAAGCGTCCACCATATTGAATGTGG